AAAAAAAAAAAAAAAAAAAAAAAAAAAATTAAATATATAAGGGTAAAATATACATGTTGGGTGAGTTATATAATTAATAATTGTGGCTGTACATTCATAATTAAAATCCTCTTATTGATTATTTTGGTTTTGGGGTTCTAAGTGTCTACAATGTGATTGAAAGCAAACTTGTACAAGGCATGTGAGAGAAAGCTCTGTCATGTTCTTATTGGTGACTTTGTAATACCGTCTTTAATCCATGTCTTCTAGGCCTACATTTTCAAAGCACTTGTACATTTTGCTGTGTTAATTAATTAAAGCCAAATAATATAATCTGTAAATCCTCTTAACCAAGCACCCAGGGATTAATATTAGCAGGTTAAAGGAGTCGGTGGAGGTAAAGTATCAGCTCCTAGATCCATCATGGAGCTCCGCCCTTCCGCAGGCACAACTCAGGTGTCAGACACGACAGTTGGTTATGGATAAAAGCACCAGTCTTGGTAGTAAAGCAAGTATTAACATAGTTTTAAAAAAATTATTGGGATAAAAATTCTTATAATTCCGAATTTAATGTTTTCATCTTATAACACGGTTGGTCACCTTGCACATCTCAGAAGCATGTGCACATATGTTTAAAAACAGAACATTAAAGTGAAGCCAAATGCTGCTTTCTTCCATTAAGACATTCCCAATCCTGCCATCCTGAAATCTGACGTCTACCAGTGCCTCCTGGTCTTTTACTGGCTCTGGTTTGGGACATCCATTTTAATTTCAGGAAATAACAGCTAATATGTAACACTTGGTAATCACAGGCGTTCCCTTTATAGCTTCCAATGAGCTGGTGGCCGCTGAAGATCAGAAATCTTCTCCTATTCATGTTTGCATTGTCATAGCGCCTAACTGTGAACTGTATGTCATGAAGGTTCTTTGTAAATGCCAATAAAAGAATGAGAAAATATTCCATCTGATCTAAACCTTCCAGTGTGTACAGGACAAGGCAGGATAGGTGGCCTTGAGACTCCAGGAAACATGACATGACTAAGACAAGGGAACAAGGGGTCAATTGTGGTTTTCAGTGCTGAGAAGAACCCTGGGCCAGGAGTCATGATATTTATCCAGAACCCCTGAGTAATAGTTATATGATGTAGATGGCTCTTTGTCATTCTTCTTTTTGCTTTACTGATAGAGGTATCTTCAAATGCAAACAGAAGAGATTACAAAGCATATTTGTGGGCAGCAGTAGTAATTCTTTTGGATCAAAATAGAAAAACTATCTAAGCATCTTGAATACAATTTCTCGTATAGTGTATGTAACTCTATGCATAATAGCACATAGTAGAATCACTGGAACTCAACACACTCAGGTTAAATCCCTGACTTATCTATTGTCTGTGGTCAGATAACTGGTTAAGTTACTTCTCCTATCTATGCCCCAATTTCCTCCTCTGTAAAACGGGCTAGGCACACAAATTATCAGACACAGTGATGAGCCTTGCACGAGGTGATGAATGTTGATCTTTGAACTATTCCCCTAATTATAATTGAGCAAGAATCAAACAATCTATTGCCAACCTTATTTTACTAAGAAAACCATGTCATTTAAAAAATAGCATTGAAAAGTTAGCCCAAGAAAAAAATTCAAGAGCTCAGAAGAGCTTCCAAGAGTGAATATAGTTTTTCTGAAAAGGAAGAAATAAATAAATCATTGAGGGGGATAGCTTGACAGTAATGGTTAGGGAAAAGTGCAAAAGAAAAGCATACAAGTGAGACACATTTGAAATACATTTTCTCGAGATTTGCTGCTTTCTATATTATTGTTGTAAAATGCTACGGTAAAACTCTTAGGAATTTCTCCACTTCTTAAAAGCAAAGCCTGCCAAGTGGTTCATGAGCTGAAATACAGAGATAAATAGCCAACGTACCAGGAAAAATCTTAGGACCTAAAGAGTGCTCAGGCAGAGCAAATACACAGAGTTTATACACTGTATGGGCAGCAAGGTCATTTATACAGTAATACTGAGCATATCTGAGTTTTTACAATTTCTTTGTTGCTTTGCATTTGCCTCCTTTACCCAACAATAGACAGAGGCTAATGAACAGGTGTCCTCTAAATGCCTGAAATTTAAAAGAGAAAATGGTATTTGTAAAACATAGCATGAAAATATCAAATGAAGGCATGTCCTTGCTGTGGTACATTTTTCAGGGTTGGAAGAGGGATTGGGACAGAGAACAGGCATTTCTCATCTCACTTGGCTCCACTCTTCTCTCGCAAAGGGACTATTTGCGTCGATCTCCCGTCGGAATTTGTGAGAAATCCAAATTCTTGGGCCCATCTAAAACTGACTAGAGCTGAAAATCTTAAGGTCAGGCCCAGGAATCTTTTTGAACGATCCCTCTAAGTGGTTCTGATATGCATCCAAGTCTGAGAACCACTGACACATTAAAATATGAGTGACCCTCCTCATGTTACACCATGCAACATCAGGACTGGAGGGTGCTGGTTGCCTAGGGCTCCACCTGAGTTGCTCTATTAACAATGAACTTGTTGTTGAATTTTAACATAAATAGCTAGCTAGCTAGGCAGACACAGCTGTAGATACAGACATTAGGCACAGAGAAGTGCAGACCAGCTCCAAGTGTATTCCAGCTCCAAGCTAGTTATTAGTCGCAGAAAAGAGAACCAGCTTGACAGCCATGGTGGAAATAGATTTGAATTCATACGGAGCAGAATTTGAAGGCTGTTCGCTTCCTTCTCTTCTCTCTCTCCATTATCTCATAGTGCTTCATTCTCCCCGCACCCCTCCAAGCTGATAGTAGTTTTGTCTGCATATGTGAGATGAACACGCAGATTAAATAATCTCTTAAGTAAAGGTAGGCAAGCTTTCCCAACCCATTTATTTTAATGAAGAGAAAACCAAGGCTCAGAGAGACCCTTCTTGCTCAACCGGGTTTTTCTAACTTTTTGGAGTGCCTCAGAGAGCTAGCAAGAAACATTCTCTGTTTTCTGTTCTGTGAGTGCTGGAAAACAAGGCTATTCACCAGGGGAACACTCAACAAGAGCAGCTGTTGCTGCCAC